TATACCGAAAAAGACATACTTAATATTATTAATAAGACAACTAAACTTTATTATATCAGCACTCAACATATTTAAGTAAATAACATCATCATACATAATATTATCTTTAATAAAAACTCCAATACCTCCACAAGCATAAGAATCGTTACAGGTAGCCAAAAAAAAACATAACCAGGTATTCTAAAATCATTCTTCTCGTAGCTATATATCCATATCTCAGAAACAAAAATTAAATCAGGTTTTTTGATAAAAGACTCTAAATGGGCAACTAAGATATCAAAATTCGCACGTAAACTTCGCACATTCTGGTGTATAATTAAAAACTGACATGAAAAATCTTTATCTACTTGAAATATGCCTTCACAATTGTTACCAACATTTAAGGTGAAATTATTAGATACAAACTCTTGAGGATCAATATTCAGATCTAAATTAGAACACATATTATGTATAATAAAACACTAACAGAAAAAATAATAATAATTAGGAATTCAATTTTAATTTATTTAAATCGTCAAAAGTCTGTATTCTATAAACTGTATCACCATCTCTTTTGCGCATCAAGATAGAAGCATTATCAAACCACAAATATTTAAATTGCTTAAGATCTTTTACTTTTTTTGCTGCAGAAAACAATGCATTTGTATAAGACGTAAAACTATGGTGTATATAAATATTTTTAATATTAGTACATCCAAATAAACCAGAATTCAACTGCTTTCTTCTAGACTACTTTTTCTTCATAACACTTAATTTATTTTGCAGAGAAACAAACTTTACACAAAGAATAGTTTTATGTTGATCATTCGAATTACCTTCAAGTTTATTATTTTTTGGTTTGCTGCTAACTTTTTTTATGAAACATGTCTCAATCATATTGGAAGTTATATTTTCTTCAACACCGTCATTGAAAATTTTTAAAGCACTTTCGAGCATATTGTTTTTATTTAAATTAGGGATACCTTCAATTTCAACAAACTTTTCCTTTTGTAGTTGCTCCAAATAATTTAATTTCTTTTCCAAAGTAAAAACTTTATTCTCCAATTTTTCTTTTTCATTTTGAAGCTTATTAATTAGAAAAAAAACATTTGCATTCATTTTTTGCATTTCGTCATACAACAATTGTAGCGTAATAGGAGAATTCTCGCATACTACATCATTCAAGTTGTTAATAGTACCGTAAGTCCTCTCAGTAGTATTTTTGAGAGAGCTAATACTGCCATCAGGAAAAGAAGTGTTGCTCTGTAGTTGCTGAAGACTAATGCTCTTTGCAGCAATACCTACAATTGTAGCAGGAGGACTAGCTGAGCCGGTCATTTGTTGAGATTTGCGACGCTCTCTACTACACTTATCACAACGAAACCAGTTTTTTGCAAAAACTCAATGTCGCTCTCCACAAGATTTACACAAGCTGCATGAAAAATGTTACTGCAATTGCTACAAGTAATTTTTAAGTCGCATCGAACCACCTTTTTGCCGCAATGACAAGGCATTTTTAAATGAATTCAACAAATAAATTAAGCAGCAAAATGAAAATATTCAATGATTACTCGAAATATGTACAAAAATGCATGTACCAAATTTACAATTAATAAATTGCAATATGTACAAGATTTTGTTAGAATTAGTAATTTGCAATGGAACAAAAACGAGCTCCAAAGAAACCCAAATGCTGTCCAAAAAAAAAACAAGTTTTCCAAAAAAAAAAAGACAAAAGTTCTAATACGTGTTTACCCCCACACGATTGACTGAGAACTTAGCTTAGAGCATAAGCTAAGACAATTTGGTTTTAGGAATCCACAATTGGGATGGTTAAAATCTTACTTCACTGAAAGGACCCAATTTTTCAAGTTCCAGGGTGTTAAGTCGAAACCTATCCATGTCTACTCTAGCGTTCCCCAAGGAAGTCATTTAGGCCCTATTCTTTTCAATATCTTCATTTCTGACCTCTCTCAGTGTTTGGCGGGTGTTCCGCATCTGATTTATGCTGATGATCTGAAAATGTATCATATTGTAAAGGATATTTCTGACACCAATTATCTCCAATTAAAGTTAGAACATCTAAATTCTTGGTGCGAGACTAATAAATTAGATCTTAACGTTAAAAAATGTTATGTTATTAGTTTTTCACGTAAGGGTTCAAACCTCTTTCAAGAATATTCACTTCAAAACTCCACTTTAGAACGCGTTTACCATATTACTGATCTAGGTATTATTATGGACAGTAAACTCAATTTCAATTTTCATTATGATTCTATTATTTCTAAAGCAAGCAAAATGCTAGGTTTCATTAAGAGGAGAGCCAGAGAATTCAATAATACTGAAGTAACTAAATCGCTCTATTGCTCCCTTGTTCGTTCTGTTCTTGAATATAGCAGTATTATTTGGGATCCGGCATTTTCTGTACCCAGAAATAAAATTGAGTCGGTTCAAAAACAATTTTTATTATTTGCTTTGAGAAGGCAATATAACCCCAATGACTTCCACAATATTCCTTCATATAAAATTAGACTTCAATCCCTGAATATTAGACTTCAATCCTTGTCACGCCGGTTTTTGTTGTCTTCTTGTTTTACCTATGATGTCCTAACAGGAAAAATAGACGTGGACTTCATTAGAGACAAAATTATTATCAACAACGACGTCAGACCTACCAGACATACTAAATTCTTAAAAGAATATACGCATAGGACTGAATATGCTAAAAATGAACCCATAAATATATGTTGTACTGTATTCAATCGTTTTAGTCATCTTTTTTCACCAGCAGTTACAAAATACACCTTCAAATAGAAAATTCATAAATCACTACTGACCTAGTACAATATCAAATGATAATTATATGACCTAATAATACAATTATTAAATCGTATTAATATTAAATACCTATTCAGCATAAATGATAACATAATAAAATTCTTTCTTTTTATACCCTGCACTTCGTGAAGGGTATATTAACTTTGGTATGGAGTTTGTAACTACTTGAAGGAGTCATCTGCGGTATGGACATATATATATATTCTTGCTCAGCGTAAAATTCTGCGTTGATTAAGACATATCCGTCCGTCCGTCCGTCCGTCCGATCGCACGATAACTTAAAAACGAATAATTCAATCGACACCAAACTTTCACAAGTTGCTTCTTTTGTCTCAAGGACGAACCCTATTGTTATTGGACCAATTCGGACAGCGGGTTCGGGTAGCTGCCATACAACTCAAAGAGTTTATTTTAATTATTTCCAAAACTAATAAAGGTACAAATATAAAATTTTGTATACATGTGTCCAATCATATTCTACATATGCTCTAAAAATTTTAATGAGATAGCTGCACCGGTTCGGGTGGCTGCCATACAACTCCAAAAGCAAATTTTTTGTATTCAGCAAAATAATAAAGTCAGATTCAAGAAACTTGGCAGTCGTGTGTTCAATTATAGATCAGATATATTTGCGAAGTTTTAGTGGAATTGCTTGACAGGTTCGGGTACCTGCCATACAACTCCAAAAGCTAATTTTAAATATTTGGAAAAATAATAAAGTCAAATTCATGAAACTTAGCAGTTGTGTGTCCAATTATAGATCAGATATACCTGCGAAGTTTTAGTGGAATTGCTTGACAGGTTCGGGTACCTGCCATACAACTCCAAAAGCTAATTTTAAATATTTGGAAAAATAATAAAGTCAAATTCATGAAACTTGGCAGTTGTGTGTCCAATTATAGATCAGATATATTAGCGAAGTTTTAGTGGAATTGCTTGGCAGGTTCGGGTACCTGCCATACAACTCCAAAAGCTAATTTTAAATATTTGGAAAAATAATAAAGTCAGATTCATGAAACTTGGTAGTTGTGTTCATACCGACTGAAACGTTTTTACTTGTTATTTATTATTTTTTTATATGTATCATATTACATTACTGTAATAAATTCATTTAATGTTTTGTTAGTATAGTTCAATTTAGTTTATAAGTATGTATCATGTATATTTTTGTTAATTTTGTAAACTATATAAATTTTTGTAATTATGTAGCATCTTGTTTGGTGCAAATTAAAATAAAATAAAAATAAAACAAAAATAAATAATCGTATCATATTGCACATTAATATTGCTTCCTGTGGCTTTTAGGTTAGCTTTGTGAAAATTAGGTACACATATATGACAATGAAATGGAGCTGATTCATTTTCATTTAAAGTATTATATATTTTTTTGCTAATTTTTGAACATTTTAAATGGATACACTTGTTGCACGTGTTACACTGTAAACTTAAATCCTCTTTATCACTCCATACAATATCATGTGTATATATTTTATACTTCGAAGATTTAGTAGACCGGTCAATTGAATATTTTTATTTTTCCGCATTACAACGATATTATTTTTTCAAAAAAATTAATATATATTATCTTTAATTATATGTTCAAAATATTTAAATAAAAAAATAATTTCACAGCAAACAGTGTTGCCAGAATTGACCTTAAAGATCTTATGTTACTTTCAACAGTTATGTAGGGAAGTCGTTGTCGAGGTTGATATGAAAATTTTGACTGTGTTAAGTTCTCTATCCTGCTTAATCCGTTGTTAAAATTAATGTCCATCGGCTTCGATGGTGGATTTGGGTTTCTTTGAGGGTAAAAACTGTTTCTAGGAGGATTTTGAGGTAGTTATAATGATTGACTGCGTTGCACTCGGTAATCTTTGTTTGTATTTCTTTGACTTCGGGGAGAAGAATTTCTATTGTGTGAGTTACTGTAATTACTATGGTCGTTATTTCTTTCACCATAACCATAATCGTTGGGCCTATTTCTATTACAATTGTAATAATTTTTCTGTCTGCAATCATTTTGATTGTAGTTATTGTTTTTTTTGTTTTGTTGAAAGTTATTTGGATAAGTTCTGTAAGTCTTTTGATTTAATTCTTAGCTATTCTATTATTATTAGTGTTTGAACTCTTATTCCTAAGGTTTAGGTGATAGTTATTTCTAGAATTATTTTTGTTCTTACATGTTCCATTACCATTGCCATAATTTCTCTATGCATATACGGCTCCAATCAATATACTCATTATCCTTTCTAAGGTTTTTGGATTTATACAGTAGAAAATAGATCTCATTGATTCTGGGATCTTATTATGCTCCACTGCGTTGATGTGGTCTGAAAGCAAAAGTTTTTTTTAACTTAATGGAAATTTACATGGATTGCAATCAATGCAGCAATCAATGTAAAGAAAATAAATACTTAGTAGTCATGTGAATTACAGTATAAAGCAATGTAGAGAACATTTCGTCGGCAATTTCTTCATGCCTCTGTAGCTCAGTTGGTAGAGCGTCCGCCTAGAAAGTGGTAGGTCACTGGTTCGAGTCTAGTTCGAGGAGAAAAATTTTTTAATGAATTTTTCTGCCTTTAACTCGTTCCTTTGATTACGTCATCCATCTCTTCTGCAGTTACATGAAGAAATTTCCATTAAGTTAAATTATTAGTGTATTAAGCACATTCTTATTAATTTCGCAACTATGATGTTGTATTAGTAAAATTCATAATATAAAAGTCTTATCTTTACGCTAAGTCTTTTCAAGGATGTTTTTATGTCATTATTAAACTAACCACTTATACACCACTAGTTCTAAAGTTTGTGCAACGTCTTGCGTCGAACACCTCCTCCAACCTACTTCGATCCCCGAAGTTATTAGTTAATTTTTCTTTTATCTCTAACTAACTCGTTACGTGGCTGTTTATTTAAAATTCTTTGCTCGCCCTTTCGACTTAAATTTTATTGAATTAGAAAAAATACTGTGACTCAAATAATCATATTTAAATAAAATATGTTTGGTTCAAAAGATCTATAAAGTTTTGTAGGTGTCTAAAGTATCCGTTAAAATCAAGTAATTTTCTTATATGTTTTAATGCATCAATGGGAGAAAGAGGGGCAGTTGACCGTGGGTTTTCTCTTAGCTCATATGTGAAGTGTCGTCGGTTATGTAAATGAGAAGGTGCTTAGTATTATTGAGATATTATCCAATAGTGTAGTGTAGTTAATAGAATAATAGAAAATTTATTTTTTCATTTTTTTATTTAAGAATAATTTTAGCCATTCAACACAAGAAAAACTTTTTTATTAATGTTCAAAAAATATATTTGTTGGTATGGAGCGAAAGTTCAAAATTATTTTTGAAAATCCGAAGAGCGTATATGTATGTGCTCTACCATAAATTAAGTATAGATAGATATTTCATGTAGAACAAAAATTTTCAAAGCATTTTTTCTATTTCCAAAAAAATAAAAAACCAGAACAAAAACTTCAAAGGCTTTTCTTTCAGCAGTTTTTTTGCTTTTTTTAATGATTTGTATGGTTCTTTTTGTACTCTTTCTCTTTTTAAGAATTTGTGCGTTTGTTTATTGTCACAAGTTTTTTATTAATAGTGCGTAATAATGCCGTATATATCTATATATTATAATTCTATATGTATATGGGATTAGTCATAACACCTATAATGTTAATATTTTTGCCTTTTCACAAAGTGTTTGGATAAGTTTTAACAAACAAAGTGACTATAGCATCTCTTTCATAAACTCCTATAGTGTACAAGATATGCTAATATTTTTGCATTTGTGTGTCTAAGATAAGTTTTTACAAATAAAGATACTATAGCATTTCTTTAGTCGACATATAAATTTTGGGACACAAATGTTGGTATGGATTTCAGTCAGTTCACATTCCTAACGTGTGATACTGGAAAAACTGGAAATGCCCTCTGACTTAATCATAAGCTTTGCCAACAAATCCGACTCTCACCTGTGAGAAGGTAGGCAACGTGGTATATGCCGGGTGACTCCTGGTAACATACTTTGGTATAGCAGTCGAGAGCGGGTGAAAGCGAGTACCTGGCGTATTAACTGCGTCCGATGCCTGGGGGACAGTTTTTAAATCCTGCCAGTAGTATAAAATGCAGTTTCAACAAAAGGATTAAGTACCCCAGATAGTAATCCAATTATGTTGGACAATCCACCATCTTCGGAGGTAGGCTCCTCGGATTCTGGAGAGAGTCATTTATTACATCCAATGGACCCATTCAGGAAGAACGCAAGGATTCGACATTCCCCTCCTTCAACTCAATAACGGACAAAAAAAACGAAAATTCAACTGTTGAAGGTAAACCATCGGACATACCGAATCCATTAAATACAAAAGATTCGAGTATAACCAAAGTTCAAGGCAAAGGAAATGAAGATCAAGGTGTCGATCTTCACAAAAGAATATCAGAATTAGAGTCTTTCTGCTTGGCTTTAAAAAGTGAGGTTTTCCAGTTAAGGGCAGAAAACGACAAACTAAAAGTTACATGCTCAACAGATGAGCAAGAACTCATGCGAGAAACGGATTTGATTCTTAAGCAAAAGAGGTCCAGCAAAAAGAATTATCAACGTAAGTAGTTCAACCAATGGAAAGTGTGGAGGGTTTGGGAATTCCTAATCCGAAAGGTGGTAATGATACTGTCAGGAATTTCAAGCCACCTCTTGTAATCATAAGTAATGATAAGTGGTTGATAAAAATTTAATAGAAGCCATATTTAAAAATAAAAATATGAACTACAAAGTCAGGATGATAAAGAATAAGCAATTAAAGCTTATTGTAGATACGGAAATGGATCCTAAATGAATCACGTTTGGAATGGTCTACATATAAAAATAAGCAAACCAGACCAATGAAAGTTATGGTAAGAAATCTTTACCCTATATGCAAATCGGAGGATACTAAAGATGATTTGCTATATAGAAATTATAAAATTCTAGACGTAGTAAATAAAGTTATAAAGGAAAACAGTAAGAATGTTTAGGTTCCTTTACCATTGTTCATGCTGATTTTCTCTAATTAGGAGAACATAAAGAGAATCTATGAAATATACCAAGTCAGTCGTACGAAAGTTAAGTTTGAGGCAATGTGGAAGGAAAAGACCATTCCTCAGTGCAAAAGATGTCAAAGGTTCGGACATTTACAAAAATTTTGCCGAAGAGAACCGAACTCCGTGGAGTGTGCAGGCAGGTGCCTAACTGCGAAGTGCACCGAACTGAAAAGCGTTGCTGCAAAATATTCAAATTGACTGCAAACTATATTTTTGAAACGCGTACGACATTGGGAACTAATCTTCAGATTCGTGGGTATAAAATTTATGGTATACCTCACCCCAGCAATTTTGAAAAAGAGGGAGCTGCGACCATAATTAAAGAAAGTGTTACACATTGTGATCTGAACCAGATGCAGTAAGAAGTGATGCAAATTGCCGCAGTTGAAATAACTTCAGCTAAATAAAAGTTCAAAGTGGCTGCTCTATACTGTCACCCAAAGTTCAAAATAACGAAAGAATCTTTTAAGAATATACTTAGTCGACTTGGTGACATATTTGTGTAAGAAGGTGACTATCATGCCAAGAATACTGACTGAGTTCTCCACAAACTTCGACCAGAGGTGTGCTTACAGAAATATGTTAAATTTTTCGCCCCCCGATGCGAATTTTCCGAAACCAAGAAATTTTCAGAAAACTTCATGAACGTTTATGGCAACTATGATCTTAATTCCAATCATTCTCCAGTTATATTAGAATTACAAGAAAGTATTGCAAAGAAAAAAGCAAAACCTCAAATAAATCAACGGAGTGGCCAAACTTTCGAGCAGAAAAAGAAACAAAAATAAATTTGAAAATCAAAATAACTGATATATAACAGTTATACGAGGAGACAGAAAACTTACAAAAATTATCCAGAATGCAGCTTGGAAGGTTCCAGAATTAATACCACCAAAAAAGAGGGTGTCAATTATCCTTCGAATATATGGAAAAAAGAAAAAAGGAATCAGGAAAAATGTCTATTAAACACGTTTCATTGACCGAGGCATAGCTATTCCAATTATCAGTGAAAGAGAGGTTGTCGCGGAGCTCATGTCTCTTCAATGTAAAAAAGCACCAGAATTTTATCTGGTCACATTTAATGTAATAAAGCAACTAAACAAAAAGAAAATTACAATGCTTATGCGTTTCATGAATGCCTGTATAAAGATCAACTACGTGCCCAGCATCAAGAAAGTTCCAGAAATAATACTATGCTACACAAGCCTAGCAAACCATTAAACGAAGCAGCTTCTTTCAAACCAATCTCGTTGTTGCCGACAATTTTAAAATTGTTCGAAAAATTATTGCTAAAAAGACTTCAACCAGCAAGTGAAAATAAAGATTTGATCCCAAATCATTAGTTCGACTTTCGAAGAAAACACTCGACGATAGATCAAATTCATCAAATTTCTGACATAATAGAGAATTCTCTCGAAGAAAACCAGAAAGAGCATATCTGCCATAATTTTGGACGTAGCCGAAAATTACTGCCAACGCAGTGTGTTCAACTACTCGAATCGTACTTTACTGATAGGGTTTTTCGAATTAAACAAGAAGAAGAATATTATTCGCTTAGAGATATTGGGTTTGGTGTGCTACAGGGAAGCATATGGGATCAATTTTATATTTTTTCCCGACAGGGGAATGCTTGTGGTAAGAGTCCACTAAAATTCAGTACAACTCCTGCACAAAAAACAAAATCAATGCAATGAATAAACCATGAGGATTTTATACTTCCCAGGTGGCAATCTTTGGATTCAGGATTATTACTGAGAATAAATTACCTCAGGAGGCTGGTGTCACGGATTCTGGGGGAGACCACTTATTGCATCAAACACCTACTGCTGACCCTTTTAGAAGAACACCCCGTGCCATGCTGACACCACTATGTGGTAAAAACAAAGAAAATATGTCCGAAGACGAGAAACAGAAAAATACCAATATGGGTGCAGTTAATGAAATAAAAGATCAGAAAACTGATAACTACCACTTATAAGAATAAGTGAGCTGGAAGCGCTTTGTAAAGAATGAGATCCAGTATCTCAGAGGGGAAAATAATACGCCAAAATTTGAGTCAACAATGTAAATACAATAAAAGAAATAAACACGGAAAAAATTACTACAAACAAAGACGAATACTGTACAGATGAGGAGGTTCTGACTTAGGAAACCGATTGGATTCTCAAGAGAAAAAGCAAAACCGAAGAGCAGATATGTCACCTTAAATAAGTCCTGACGACAAGGTGACCAAAACTGAAAAATCTATGCGGATAAATACAAAATCTGTGCACTAGAAGAAAGATCAAACCCCTTCCTGTTTTATTAAGCAATGTAGAGGAATATCCAAAAATAAAGAAGATTCTGAAAGAAGCCAAAATAAACTTTGAGGTCAACATGATGAATAATAATCTACTTAAAATCAATGTTGATCAAAGGCAAGATTACAGAGAATTAACCAAAAAAAAATTAATGTATCTAAAGTAGAGTGGCATACCTGCGAAAATAAAATGACAAGACCCATCAAGGTGATGACTAGAGGGTTGTATTCTGCTTGCCAAACTGAAGATATTAAAAATGAGCTAAAAGAGAGGACCTAAAGGTCCTCTCTTTAAAGTTCTTGAAGTCGCTAATAAAATTAGAAAGCAGGATATAGAAAACAAGATCACTATGATCCGACTTCTCCTCTTCATGTTAATCTTTAAAAATTCGGAGACATAAATAAAATTTACAAAATACATGTTATTATACACATGAAGATTAAAATTGAGTCACTAAGGAAAAATAATTTAGTTCTTCAGTGTAGAAAGTGTCAGAGATATGGACCCAAAAATATTCCTATGTTGCCAAAATATTGATATATGTTTAGTAACGGGGACACATTTAAAACAGCAAACAGATATAAAAATAAATGGTTACATAGAATATAAAGCGGCGCATCCTAATAATGAATCAAAAGATGCAATTTTGATAAGGAATAATATAAAAACGTAAAGAAGAAAGAGACGATAGCAAATTTATTGTTGTACGAATAGAGTCTTATAAACAAAATTTTGATGTTGGTGTACTTTACTCTCCACCGGAACGTTCTATAAAGAGTGGTTGATTGAAAGATCTTCTGAATCACCTTAAAGAAAGGTTAATTCTGGGAATTGACTATAACGCCCAACATATTGATTGGGATTCTGGATTGACCTCAACAAAAGGAAAAGAGCTAAGAAAAGCTATTAAAGAGATTGGTTGTTACTACCAATCTACTGATAGACCAACATATTGGCCTAGTGTTGGAAATAAAATACCAGATCTGCTAGATTTCTTTGTTGTCAAGAAAATCTCGCCAAATTTCACTAGTTTAAAAGATAACTATGATTTGGATTTGGATCATTCTGCAGTTATATTAAATTTAACTGAGACAATTATCAAAAAACAAGGTAAGCCCATGTTGATTAATAAATCCACTGACTGGACTATTTTTCAAGAATTTATAGAATTTTAATAAAATCATACAAAGTAAATTTAAATAAACTTAGAGAATATTAAAATCACACAAAGCGCTGCCTGAATTAATAAAACACAATATGAGTATAAATCCGTGGGTATGACTTACCCGAGAGAAAATAATAATGAATATGAAAACGAAGAGAGAAGAGCCAGACTCGGATGGCAAAACTCACGAGATCCGGCAGATAAAACTGCATTCAATCGACTCACTCAGAATCTAAAAATAAAAATAAGAAAAGTCAAAGAAGATTCATTTAATAATTACATTAAATATTTGTCAGCCGAACAAAAAAGTAATATGCAGGGCTGATATATTAAAAAGCCAAACTTATATGTCCCGCCTATTACAGGAATAGATGATAAATGGGTAATAGAAAATAAAGATAAGGCTGATATATTTGCAGATCATCGTGAGCAAATTTCTAGGCCAAATGACATACACTCAAACATAAATATAATATATTATTATTATTATTATTATTATTATTATTATTATTATTATTATTATTATTATTATTATTATTATCTTTATTATTATTATTATTATTATTATTATCTTTATTATTATTATTATTATTATTATTATTATTATTATTATTATTATTATTATTATTATTATTATTATTATTACTATTATTATTATTATTATTATTATTATTATTATTATTATTATTATTATTATTATTATTATTATTATTATTATTATTATTATTATTATTATTATTATTATTATTATTATTATTATTATTATTATTATTATTATTATTATTATTATTATTATTATTACTATTATTATTATTATTATTATTATTATTATTATTATTATTATTATTATTATTATTATTATTATTATTATTATTATTATTATTATTATTATTATTATTATTATTATTATTATTATTATTATTATTATTATTATTATTATTATTATTATTATTATTATTATTATTATTATTATTATTATTATTATTATTATTATTATTATTATTATTATTATTATTATTATTATTATTATTATTATTATTATTATTATTATTATTATTATTATTATTATTATTATTATTATTATTATTATTATTATTATTATTATTATTATTATTATTATTATTATTATTATTATTATTATTATTATTATTATTATTATTATTATTATTATTATTATTATTATTATTATTATTATTATTATTATTATTATTATTATTATTATTATTATTATTATTATTATTATTATTATTATTATTATTATTATTATTATTATTATTATTATTATTATTATTATTATTATTATTATTATTATTATTATTATTATTATTATTATTATTATTATTATTATTATTATTATTATTATTATTATTATTATTATTATTATTATTATTATTATTATTATTATTATTATTATTATTATTATTATTATTATTATTATTATTATTATTATTATTATTATTATTATTATTATTATTATTATTATTATTATTATTATTATTATTATTATTATTATTATTATTATTATTATTATTATTATTATTATTATTATTATTATTATTATTATTATTATTATTATTATTATTATTATTATTATTATTATTATTATTATTATTATTATTATTATTATTATTATTATTATTATTATTATTATTATTATTATTATTATTATTATTATTATTATTATTATTATTATTATTATTATTATTATTATTATTATTATTATTATTATTATTATTATTATTATTATTATTATTATTATTATTATTATTATTATTATTATTATTATTATTATTATTATTATTATTATTATTATTATTATTATTATTATTATTATTATTATTATTATTATTATTATTATTATTATTATTATTATTATTATTATTATTATTATTATTATTATTATTATTATTATTATTATTATTATTATTATTATTATTATTAT